GTCTGTGCCCGACTAGTAGCAGTGTGCTGGTTTTGGGCCTGTATTGATGCCCTGATCCACACTGCCTCTCTGACCCGACTGTCATTTTGTGGCCACAATGAAATTCATCATTTCTTCTGTGATCTCAGTGTGGTGATAAGGTTGGCCTGCTCAGATACCTTCCTCAATGACATGATGGTCTACACAGTAGGAGGACTGACAGCCGTCATGCCCTTCATTGGCATCCTCATCTCGTACACGCGCATTTTCATTGCCGTCCTGAAGATCCCATCGGCTCATGGGAAACAGAAAGCTTTCAACACATGTGGCTCCCACCTTACTGTGGTCTGTCTCTTCTATGGAACAATCATTGGAGTGTACTTTAACCCCACATCCACCCATACAGCCCAAAAGGACACAGCATCAGCTGTGATGTACACTGTGGTCACCCCCATGCTGAATCCTTTCATCTACAGCCTGAGGAACAAAGATATGAAGGGAGCCCTGAGAATGCTCGTCACCAGGAAGTCAGGCCTCTGTCTATGACTGTAGACATCCTCCTGGGACCGGCTGCCTGTGTCTCCAACAATAATCCAATGATTTAACAAATTTGCAATAAAATGTCTCAAGTATGATAAATGAAGTCAATTGTTCACCTGTCTACACTAGTGGTGTTGCATTGTGATAAGATCATGGGAGCTTTGTTTCTCCTTCTGGTTCTACCCAGTTCTTAGCTGAGCTATTATAATCTCCTGTGCCTCAGTTTCTTCATCTGAGAAATGAAGGGGCAACTACACAGAGAGTACTTTATAGGGCTAGACAAAATGAAATTCTGCACGGTACAGGCTTACTTGCCTGGAGCACTGAATAGTCTCCATTGTGAGACATGGCCTCAGGCCTTCCTGATTTCAAGACCTCTCCCTCTGTTTTACTATTTATGCCACACTGCTGCTTTAAGAAAAGCTGACAATAAAGAATTTACACCAACATAGGAAAGCTTTTAGGAACTAATGCAGAGCAAAGTAAGGAGAAGCAAAAGAAATATATACATACATACAAATACAGATATATAATATGCAACAAAAAAATGAATTCTGTGTAATTATGAGAAAAAGTTGGTGAAACATACTATGCTCTCTTCTTTGCATACATGAGAGACTATGGGTGTGGGATATTGTATGTACCATCTTACATCATCAATGTGTTGGTTGCTTTCATCAAACTTTTTTTTAAAAAATGTTTCCAGGCAACAGGAAACCAGCATTTATTAAATACTTACTATGAAGGAATGATCTAGTAGACATGAACATTGAAGATAAGTGAAAGAGTGGGGATGCTAGAAGGGGAAATATGCTAATGGAGATGGGATGGAATAGGATTTCTTGTGCACGTACAGGGGTTGGTTTTGTCTAGGCAAAGGGCCACCTCATCAAGTGAGACAGCAGTGAAGGGGGAAATGGTGGCAGAAGGCATCTGGGTGATGTGAACAATGAGGAGGGGAGAAAAGAGAGCGCCTTATGAATGGCATCAATTTTTTCAGTAAAATATGAAGCAAGGTTCTCATTTGATAAGGTGACAGGAAGAGGAGCCATGGGAAATTTGAGGAAGGATGAAAAGGTTTAGGAGTGGATAATGAGTTAATTAGGGATGAATAAAGAATTTGCCTAGTAGCAGTGAGGACCCAATTGAAGTTATATAACATAAATTTGCATGCTTAGGGAACTCTTGCTGACTACATGATCTCTATCTTTGTTCATCAATCTGATAAGATAGGTAAAGGACTCAGGAGAAGAGGACAGTGTACAGTTTAATTGTCTTGCTAAGGGGTCAAAAAAGCAAACTAGGGCAGGGGTGACAGCCCAAGAGAAAACTAAAGGATCAAGAGATTGGAGGTCACAATGTAGACGAAGAACAGGGTTTGGTATCAGAAGGCAGAGGGAGAAAAGGAATGCAAATAGATTGTGATCAGATAAGGGAATCAGAGAAGAGCAATTTCAGTGTTCCTGTAAGAAGACAACACACAAAAGTGACCCAACAGAGCAATGGGGGTAGAAGGTAATAAACCTGCTTGGTGGGCATGGTGGCAAAGTTCTTAGAATCAGAAAAACAATAAAATAAAATTTTTAAATAGAGTCAGAAATAACTGGAAAGGGAATGAAGCCTAGCCAGCCTTGATCTATTCCGAAAATGAAGACACCAGGAGGCACTTACCAATGGGACGAAGATGGCAGGAGCAGAGTTATCTGCCAGGGCAAGAAGGCCATAGGTGCTGAGGGAAGTTCCAGGGTGAGAGGGCAGTTGAGGCATTGTGAGTCCTGAGGACCAGAAACAGAGCCAGGAGCAGAATGAAATATTTGAGATTTTTTTTCTCTTTGTTTCAAGGGAAAGCTCAATGAGCAGAAGAGGTAGAGATACAATTAGAAATTAAGGTGACATAAAATAAGAGATCAACAAAAAATTAAAATTTATTACATAAAATATAGTGGGAAACTGAGATTATTTTCAAGGTCCCTTTCATCTCTGACATTTTATTATTCTATGATCTAGGTTCAAGTGTTTCCTTGGTCACTCTTTAGCTGTATGATTATGAGTAATTTCAATTTTCAAGGTCTCCACTTAGAAAAATTACAGAATATCCTCAATTTAATGGATTTCAGGGATCATAGAATCTAAGCTCTACTGGATCACGAATCCCTTCTATAGCACTGATTAACAAGGCTCTCTTCAATACCTTTCTAAAGGTAGTGTATGTACCATGTACTAGAGAAACAAATATTAAGACATGAATGTAATGGAGTATTACTGTACTGTAAAAAAACAATGAATACAGAGATAAACTGGAAAGACTTACATGAACTAATACATAGTAAAATGAGTTAAGAAAACAATATTTAAATTGCTACAACAACATAAATGGAAAGAACAACAAACTCAAAATAATCAAAATGGATGCTGAGAAATTAAAAAAAAAAAAAACAAGATCAACACCAAGAAGAAACAGAAGATATTTTCCCCACTTCTTTACTGAGGTGGTGGGTCAATGTGTGTAGGACATGGCATAGAATATCAGATAATTTTGATGTAATGATTGGTTTGCTGATTTTTTTTTTTCTTCGTCTTTCTGAGTGGTGGGAAGTCGTTAGGTCAACAAGCACTTATCAAGCACCTATGTGAGGTTCACGTACTGAGTTCTCGGAGGGAGCCTCCCTCTGTGCGTGCTCTGGCATGTCCACTCTGGCTGCTGCCAGCTGTGACTCCGACTCCCGGAAAAGGCTGCGGAGAAACCGCTGAAGTCGTGCTGCGCATGCCCGGAGACGAAGCAAGCCCGGGATGCCTGCATCATTGAGAAAGGAGAACACTGTGGACATCTAATTGAAGCTCACCAGGCGTGTATGAGAGCCCTGGGATTCAAAATATGAATGAAAGAGGAAGTAGAGTATGGAAGGTTGTCCGATATTGGAAGAATAGTTCCTAAGGAATGAATTGAGGTGGACTGAGTTGTCACAAAAACAACCCCCCTCCCACCCTAGCCTGACCTCCTGAGTTTCTACTTCAAAGAATCGCCAATCCACAATTGTAAATTTCACTACATCAAAGGATTAGTATCTACGATTGAAAACTGTTGGGTATAAAGCTTTGTTATTTCTCTTGCCTGGCACTGTTTCTCCTAGGATTGCATCCAGGGGACAGTGGCCGGCCGGCTCCAGTAAATGCTCTCTATTTTCTAATTTGGCGTGTGTCTGGTTACTCTCGGCCCGTCCATTTCATTTGGAGGTTCCACCGAGATTGCCCTCTGGGCACCAGACACGGGCATCTCTGGAAGGCCAGGCTTCTCACCGTCCAGGGGGTGGCCACCAGGAAGACGTTCCCTGGCCCCGAACGCTGAGATAGCCCGTGCGCACCAGGCTGCCCGGACCACAAATCCTCAATTGGGCATAGAGCAATCTGTAATCTGTCTGTTCTGGTGAGTACTCTTCTGAAGGAAGTGGCCAGGCTGGACGCAGCTGCAACACCCTTACTGACCTCCACGGGACGCCGTGTGAGAGTCCTGCCTGTCTGATTGTGTCTGTCCGGTGCCGATGTCACTGTGTGTGTGTGTGTGTGTGTGTGTGTGTGTGTGTGTGTGTGTGTCCACTGTGCGCTCCGTGGCGGGGTGGGGGGGAAGACTTCCTGCCTCATTCTCCAGGTTGTTCGGAACTGAGACGGGTTCGTTCCCCGCTACTGTGTCAGGAGCATCCAGGGTTTTGACTGTGTCTTTTTCCCGTTTTTGTGTCGACTGTGTGTGTGCGTCTATCTACTATTTGTTCCGTGAGAAGGGGGGTGTAAATTCCTGTCTCATTGTCCAGGTTGTTCGGAATTGAGGCAGTTTGATTCCCCTCTACCCTGTCTTGACTGTGTCTTCCCTGTGTCCGTGTTTGGTCCTTGCCTACGTGAGCACGTCTATTTGTTACTCTTTTCTTTCTCAGTCCTTAATCCACCATGGGACAGGGACCCTCGAGCCCTAAGCCAGGCTCCCCTCTCTTTATTGTCTTACGGAACTTCAAGCAATATCGGCGTATAGCAGAAGGTTATGGGTTTCAGGTTACTAAGAAGAAACTAGCTCTTTTGCCAACAGGAATGGCCCACCTTCGAGGTAGGCTGGCCCCCGGAGGGTACGTTTGACGTCTCGGTGGCCGGCCGGGTAAGGGGAGTTGTCTATGGTATACCTGGCCACCCCGATCAGGTCCCCTATATCACCGCCTGGATTGATTTCAAACCCCCTTCGGGACCACTACAGGTCCAGGCTCTTTCAAAACTAAGACCAGGAACGGAATCAAAGACGACCTTTAGCTGCAAGCCTCCCGAAAGTCCTAAGGTCGTCACACAGCTCTCTCCTGTCTTACCACCCCCTGATTCTGACCCCCTAGATCCAGCCGAGTACTCCCAGTCCCAGGTTTCAGATCCACCCCTGTACCCAACCTCAGGGGGTCTCTGAGCCCCTCAGCCCCTCCTCTGATAAGTCCACCCCATACTCGAGCAGGTGCTCCTTATGGCCCTTCTAATTCTGGTTTGACCCCTGATTCCACTGTGTCAGCGTTTCCCCTGCGGCAAGTTCCTTCCCCTCCCAGAGAATCAGGGAGACCGTTCATGGTATATGTTCCCTTCTCCACCAGTGATTTGTACAATTGGAAACAGCAAAACCCATCCTTCTCTGATAAGCCCCAGAGCCTAATCTCCCTCCTAGAGACTGTCTTTTATACTCATCAGCCCACTTGGGATGACTGCCAGCAACTCCTCCGGGTTCTTTTCACAACCGAGGAGCATGACAGGATTCTTTTAGAAGCCAGGAAGGGAGTTCTGGACCCAGATGGACAACCCTCTACTGACCCAGGGCGCCGCAACCACATCTTCCCTGAGAACCGGCCCGACTGGGACCCCAGTACTGATCGCGGTAGGGAAGCACTGGACAGGTATCGCCAGTTGTTGCTGGGAGGGTTACGGGCAGCAGCACGGAAACCAACCAATATGTCCAAAGTCAGTGAGGTTAGACAGGGCAAGAACGAGTCCCCAGCTGCATACTTGGAGCGCCTCTACGAGGCATATCGAACCTACACCCCTATCGACCCAGAGGATCCCAATAACCGGAGAGCCATCGTAATTGATTTCGTAGCCAATTCGGCTCCGGACGTCCGTCGGAAGCTACAGAAACTTGAAGGTTTTGAGGGTAAAAATCTGACTGAACTCATGGAAGTGGCCAAGCGGGTGTTTGACTATCGTGAAGAGGCTCAAGACAAGCAAACTCGCACGGTCGCAAGGGCGGTAGTGGCAGCTTTAGCACAGGTTCCAGGGGAGGCTCAGAAGCAAGGGTGGAAAGGAAGGCGGGAGGGGCCAAACGCTGGGCGCCCCTATAAGGGTAAAGGCTTGGGAAGGCCTCCTTTAGCTCGGGACCAGTGTGCTTACTGCAAAGCCATGGGCCATTGGAAATCTGAGTGCCCTAATCGCGGGCTGAAAGAGAAGGCAGAGCCTTTATTGACTTTGAATACAGACTAGGGGTGCCCCGGCTCAAAGTCCGTTGTGACTCTTGACCCCCTGGAGCCGAGGGTTACTCCCAGTGTTGGGGGTCAACCTGTCTCATTCCTAGTCGACTCTGAAGCTGCGGCATCGGTCCTGAAATCCCCACTGGGCTCCCTCTCATCATCCACTGTGCAGGTCCAGGGAGCTACTGGTTGAAAACAGTCTGTACCCCTCACCACTTCTCGGGAAATCTGGTTAGGGAAGGGCCTAGTTTCCCATTCATTTCTAGTGATGCCTGATTGCCCTTACCCCTTGCTTGGCAGAGATCTCCTACACAAGCTTCAGGCTATCATTTCCTTTAAGGGACCTAACCCCACTCTCGGGTTCAACCTGCCACAACTTGTTCTCACCTGCCCGTTGTCTCGCCTCCTCCCCCTAACGTTTTCCCCAGACCGCCCCTCGACCACCTCCACCCCTACTTCCCTAACTCTGTTGAACCATTTCAAAGGCTTGGTTCCTGGGGTCTGGGCTGAGACCAACCCGTTTGGTCTAGCAGGACACCAGCCCCCAGTGGTGGTCCAGCTCTCGTCCACAGCAACCCCTGCGCGTGTCCAACAATACCCGTTGACTCGAGCTGCCCTTTTGGGCATCAAGCCTCACATCGATCGACTCTTGGCGGCAGGCATTCTACGACCCTGCCAGAGCTCATGGAACACCCCCCTACTTCCAGTTCGCAAGCCCGGGTCTGGAGACTTCCGTCCCGTCCAGGATCTACGAGAAGTCAACGCCCGGGTGGAAACTGTACATCCTACTGTACCAAACCCATACATGTTGCTGTCTTCCCTGGACCCTGCTCGGACTTGGTATACTGTTTTGGACCTGAAGGACGCTTTCTTTTCCATTCCCTTGGCACCAGTAAGCCAACCTATATTCGCTTTTACTTGGACAGATCCTAACACTGGGACATCCTCTCAGCTCACCTGGACCCAGCTTCCCCAAGGTTTTAAGAACTCCCCTACACTTTTTGGCTCAGCTCTGGCCTCCGACTTGGCAGCCTTCCGGGTCTTGTATCCGGAGGTCACTCTCCTCCGGTATGTTGATGACCTTTTGTTGGCTACCTCCTCTGAGGCAATATGCAAAGATGCAACTCTCCACCTTCTCCAGTTGCTTGAGGCTTCCGGCTATCGTACCTCTGGAAAGAAAGCACAACTGTGCTCTCAATCCGTTGTTTACTTGGGTTTCACCCTTCGTTCTGGCCAAAGGTTACTGTCTCGGGGGCGTGTAGCTACCATTTTGGGCATGCCCGCCCCGAGGGACCGCCACGGGCTCCGGGAATTCCTGGGGATGGCTGGATACTGTCGCCTCTGGATCTTGGGGTTTGCCGAGGTTGCCAAACCCCTATATGAAGCCCTGACAGGTGAACCCACCCAATTTGTTTGGGGACCACGGCAGCAGGAAGCATTCGACAAGCTTCGAAAGGCGCTGTCCAGCACGCCTGCCCTCTCCCTGCCAGACCTGTCCAAGCCCTTCCGCCTCTATGTGTCTGAGTCTCGAGCTGTGGCCAAAGGGGTTCTGACCCAGCCCCTGGGGCCCTGGAATCGTCCTGTTGCCTATCTCTCCAAGCAGCTGGACCCTGTGGCTTCCGGGTGGCCCTCTTGCCTGCGAACTGTGGCGGCCGTTGCCGTCTTGGTTAGGAAAGCCACTAAGCTCACCTTCGGGCAGCCTCTTGAGATTTCAGCATCGCATCATCTGGAACAGCTTTTACATTCCCCGCCGACAAGATGGATCTCAAATTCATGCCTGACTCATTACCAATCCCTACTCCTCGATCCCGCGCAAATCACCTTTGCTCCTCCGGTCACACTCAACCCGGCCACCCTGCTCCCTGACTCCCCTCCTTCCTCCCCTATACATGATTGCCTGGACACACTGGACTCCATCCACACGTCCCGCCCTGGACTTACTGATGTTCCTTTAACAAACCCAGACCTAGTGCTTTTCACGGACGGCAGCAGTTTTGTTCAGGAGGGGATCCGTAGGGCGGGTGCAGCCGTGGTCACTCCGGTTGAGACCCTCTGGGAGACCGCTCTACCCCCCGGCACATCTGCTCAACGTGCTGAACTCATTGCCTTAACTCAAGCCCTTAGACTCTCTGCAGGCAGGCGAGTAAACATCTACACTGATAGCCGCTATGCCTTTGCCACTGTTCATGTCCATGGATATGTATATCTCCAACGGGGACTGTTAACCTCGGCGGGTAAGGAGATTAGGAACAAGAGTCAGATCCAGGAACTGCTGGATGCTGTCTGGCTTCCCAAGGAGGTGGCGGTAATTCATGTTCCTGCTCACACCCGTGGAACTGACCCCCCGTCTCTAGGGAACGCGGCAGCGGATAGGGCTGCCCGAGCGGCTGCCTGCAAGCCCTTGATACCCGCTATGGTCGTGGAACCTGAGGGGATGCTGCCTGTCCAACCATCTTATCAATCCAGTGATCCGGATGGCACCTCTGAAAAGGGGGGATGGAGAAGACACCCAAATGGCTTGCTAATTCTGCCCAAGGCACTGTTGCCAGCCCTGTTGATGACTCTTCATAGCCTTACCCACTTAGGCGGAACCCAGCTTTACGACCTGGTGAGCCGACACTTCTACAGCCTTGGGATGAAGCAGGCGGCCGAGGAAGCCGCAAGAAGATGCCTTGCATGTGCCAAAATCAACCCACGATCACAATCAAGGATACCGACTGATAGACCACGAGGGACATTTCCTGGCGACCATTGGGAAGTAGACTTTACTGACATGGGAACTGGGTTGGGAGGGTACCGTTTTCTCCTTGTATTCGTGGACACATTTTCTGGATGGCCGGAAGCATTTCCAGTCAAAACTGAAACTGCAACCGTAGTGGCCAAAAAGCTGTTCTTTGAACTTATTCCTAGATTTGGCCTGCGGGCCTCGATAGGCTCTGACAACGGCCCAGCATTTGTGTCCGCAACAATTCAAAGCCTATCAAAGATGCTGGGATTGAAATGGAAATTGCACTGTGCATATAGGCCTCAAAGTTCAGGGCAGGTAGAGAGGATGAATAGAACTCTAAAAGAGCACATTGCTAAACTTAAAATAGAAACTGGCGATAGCTGGGTCAGTCTCCTTCCCTTCGCCCTCCTCCGGGCCCGGTGTACTCCCAATTCCTCAACCCTCTCTTTATCTCCATACGAGATCCTCTATGGAGCCCCTCCTCCTATTATTCCAAGAGTATCTGCAGCTATTCCAGCCCCAGATTTCACTAATCCGACTCTTCTTAAGTCCTTCCAGGCTTTGCGTGAGGTCCAGAACGCTGTGCGCTCGGTCCTGAAAGCTGCGGGGAAAGAACCAGCCCCTGCAACTTCATCGGACGCCCTGTCACCGGGAGACTGGGTCCTCACTCACAAGCTTCCAGCTGGACCAGCCCTGGAACCACGGTGGACGGGCCCGTATCAAATTATCCTCTGCAACCCCTCTGCCGTCAAGGTTGCCGGCCACAAGGCATGGATACATCGGTCACACATCAAGAAGGCCCCAGAGCCCAACTCCACCGCCTGGACAGCAGAAGCAGTGTCCGACCTAAAGCTTCGACTCTCCAGAACTTGACTCTTTTTCTCTTTCTTTTTGCTTCTGGGATGACTTTGGGTGACTCCTATAGCCCTACCCCATCCAGGTGGATTCTCTCCCGAACTAATGATGGGACCACCGTCCAAGCTCTCACCAGTTACGGAGCCCCCACTTTCAGGTTTGACCTCTGTGCCCTCTTGGGACCAGGATGGAATCAAAACCGGGCTATACGGGACCCTATCGCTGGGGGAAGGGGATACTGCCCCACTATTCCCACCACTCCAACCACACCCGGGGCAGGGGAAGTGAGAATCAGAAGTATTGAATTCTATGTTTGTCCGGCCACGGGGAATCCTTCCTGTCAGGGTAGTAATCACTTTCACTGCGCAGAATGGGGTTGTGAGACTGTGGCCAGGTGGATTCCTAGGGGCAGCCGGGACCCCCTAATCACCCTGGAGAGACAAAGCCCCCTCCCCGCCTCCTGCTGGCCTGGGAAATGTAACCCTATGATTCTAACAGTCAAGCAGGACACTGATGACTCTTGGAATCTCGGGCATTCTTGGGGTTTAAGGTTATACATGACTGGGTGGGATAATGGGGTCCTTTTTACCATTCAGAAGATCGCAGTTCCCGCCCGTACACTCCCAATAGGTCTGAATCCCATCCTTAACCCACAAGCCATGTTGACTCTCGCCCCACCATCTGTTAGGGACCTGGTACTAGAGGCTCCCAAAAATCCAGAGACCCTCACTAACCTAGGTTCCCCCATTTTTGATACACTCTCTGCTGTCCACTCATTCCTAAATTTGTCTGATCCAAACATAACCACCTCCTGTTGGCTGTGTCTGAATCCAGCCCCCCCCTATTTCGTAGGAATTGCTATCGAACTTAACATCACCTCTGTGGGAAAGTTGTCTTTAAGTAAGTCCAAACGACCCTCTGCCATACCTGCCCGCTGTAACCCGGATAAGCCTAGACTTACCCTAGACGATGTCCAGGGCAAAGGGATGTGTTTGCTCGGGCCTGACTACCCGCTGCGGTCCTCCCCGTTCAACGCTACGTGCACTTCAGTCATTCTTATTTCCCCCACATCCAAAAGCTCTGACCTCCTGTTAACCGCCCCACCTGGAGTATGGTTCGCTTGTACCAGAGGACTCACCACCTGCATACAGGACATTCGTTTCCTCAACCCGACCGAGCTCTGTGTAGTGGTGCGTGTCTTTCCTCAGGTATATGTCTACTCAGAGGAAGGGGCAGCTGAGCATTTTGGCCTAACTCGCTCCAGGAGGGCTGTACCTATCTTGGTTCCTATATTGGTGGGACTCGGAGTGGCCAGCTCCGCTGCTGTTGGGGCCTCAGCCCTGATACAGGGGAAGGCCAACTACGGTGCCTTGAGTGCACAGGTAGACAGGGACCTACGCTCCTTGGAAGAGCTAGTCTCACACCTTGAGACTTCCCTAGACTCCTTAGCTGAGGTGGTTCTCCAGAACCGCCGAGGCTTGGACCTACTGTTCCTCAAACAGGGAGGCTTATGCATGACGTTGGGAGAAACCTGCTGTTTCTACGCCAATCGGTCTGGAGTTATTCGGGAGTCCTTGCAAGCCCTTAGGCAGCGGTTAGATGAGAGGGACCGCGCACGGGCAACGGGGTCTTCTTGGTATCAGACCCTGTATAATTGGTCCCCCGGCTAACCACCCTAATCTCCGGAATGGTGGGCCCTCTGGCCCTTCTCCTCCTTGGGTTACTCGTGGCCCCTTGTTTCATAAAATGCATAACCCGCTATGTCCAGAAACGAGTGCAAGCACTCCAGTTGTTTGTCCTGCGTCAATCCTATGCTCCTCTGGACTCTGATGAGTCCCCCGTCTGACTCTTTTCGTCCGTGAAAAGGGGGGAGTGAGGTGGACTGAGTTGTCACAAAAACAACCCCCCCTCCCACCCTAGCCTGACCTCCTGAGTTTCTACTTCAAAGGATCGCTAATCCACGATTGTAAATTCTCCTACCTCAAAGGATCGCCAATCCACGATTGTAAATTTCACTACATCAAAGGATTAGTATCTACGATTGAAAACTGTTGGGTATAAAGCTTTGTTATTTCTCTTGCCTGGCACTGTTTCTCCTAGGATTGCATCCAGGGGACAGTCGCCGGCCGGCTCCAGTAAATGCTCTCTATTTTCTAATTTGGCGTGTGTCTGGTTACTCTCAGCCCGTCCATTTCATGAATGAGATTAAATTATTTGGGGGCTTCTTTGAAGAACAAAATTCTTGTATACGTGAATATTTATAGTTTCTTTAAAAAATAAAATATATGTATATATATGGGGGGAAAAAAAGAACATGTGTGCTAGGCACTATGCTTAGTGCTAGGGTTACAAAAAAAGGCCCCAAAAAAAAATCCCTGTTCTCAAGGAACTCACAGTCTAATGGGAGAGGCAACATGAAAACAACTGTGGACAAACTATATACATATTTATATATGTATAATGTATAAATAATAGGCAGAAGGAAGCACTAGCAATAAGGGAGACCAGGACAGGCTTCTTGCAGAAAGTGAGATTTTTAGCCAAGACTCTAAAGAAACCAGGAAGTGGAGTAAAAATGCTCAGTCTAGAGGTGGAGTGTCTTCTGTGAGGAAAAGCAAGGAGAATGGTATCATTGGATTGAAGAGTACATGAGAGGTAGGGACAAGTAAGGTGTAACAAGACCAGTAAGGGGGCAGCTAGGTGGTGCAGTGAACAGAGCTCCAGCCTTGGAGTCAGGAGGACCTGAGTTCAAATCTGGCCTCAGACACTTGACACTTACTAGATGTGTGACCCTGGGCAAGTCACTTAACTCCAATTGCCTCACCAAAAAAAAAAAAAAAAAAAAAAGATTGGTAAGGTAGTAGGTCAGGTTATGGAAGACTTTGAATACCAAACAGGATTTTAGATTTGATCCTGAAGGCAGTAGGGAGCCCAGAATTATAAAGGGTGTGACATGGTCAGACCTGTGCTGCAGGAAGATCAATTTGACAAATGAATGGAGAATGAACTGGAGTGGAGAAAGACTTGAATTAGGGACAACAGCCAGCAAGCTATTGTAATAGTTTTGGATATGCTAGGAAATTGACTTTGTATAAAAACAAAATGTAAGAGTAAAATTATATTTTTTAAAATATCCATCAAGGATGTATGCCACTTCTAGGACTCATAAAGTGTTAATGAATAAAACTATTTGGCACCAGTGAGAGGAAAAAGGTAAATCAGTGGAACAAGTTAGATAAGGAAGAATTTACAGTTCCCACTTACAGTCAATTCTTTATACCAAGAAATCTACTGTGAACTACGAAAATATGGCATCACCCAGCTCATGGACTTGATTTTTTTGACCCAGGACTTGATCCTTCCAAATGGGAATGGGGAAGGATAGAGGAGCGAAGCCTGAGATTTCTGGTCTTTTTTCTCCCACATTCTGTTACTCCTTTCAAGAGCCATTAAATTGTTCTGTTTTTATTTTACTGTTTCTTTTTTAGTTTTACTTTTCCTCCTTTAGTGCTATTTATATCAGAACTTTTTGAATACCAGAGATCAGAGTTCACCAGAAACATTTCTAAAGTCATTCAAGTGGTGAAAAGTTCTCTAGTAATAGTTAAGTACCTTACCACCAAGGGGTGGAAGGTGGTAGGGGCCATATACTAATTCCTCTCCTCATTCAAATCAGGCTAAGTTTGTCTTTGAAGGTATTGAAATCATCCTCAAGAACTGATTGGCTCAAAGTACTAAATGCTCAGGTTGTTGATATCACTTTCTGGTTAAAATAGAAATGAGGATCTCTAGCCCCATTTTGACTCTTGGCAGACCACAAGTGATCACTCAGCAAAGAAGCTTCTCTCAGCTATATCAACTTGGGGTGTCTTAGATGCACAGTATCATTAAATGTCCTCTTACTGCTATGCTAAGTAAATTTCCTTTTGTTAATTGTTGTATGTCTTATGTGTGCCTCATATTGTTCTAATATCAAATCTAAAATGCCAGGGGACTGGCCTAAGTTTGGCCCCTCCCAAAACACCTAAAATTATATCACCACAACATTTAGAATGGATAAACACATTGAATAATAAAAGGCACATCATTAAAAATTTTTAGAAAAAACCAATTCAGGTTCTTTCACCAGAAATGCTAAAGGGAAAATTTTTAACCAAAAAAGGAACAGAGACAAACACAAAATGAATGTAATGGATTTTTGAGAACTGACTGACATGTTGGGATTTGGAGTTCAAAGTAAAAAGTACCAGCCAGTCAACTGCATCCTCCACAGCAATATCCACTGTCATCAGTCAAACCAAAAAAAAAGGGGGGGGGGGTCATTTTAATCACTTAAAATTGAGAAGCTTTGTCAAAATTAGATTTTTATACTTAGGACAGGACAGGAAAGCATCCATTAGGAGAAAAAACTGCATCAAATGTCTCTGACAAAGGTCTGATAGCAAAATCACATAGGGAATTAACACAAACATATAAGGACAAGAGCCATGGAGCCAAGGATGAATAAGCAGTCAAAAGATATGAATAAACATTCCTTGGAAGAAGTAGTCTAAACTATTAACACACATAAGAAAGCTCACTCCAGCAGAACAGGAGAACATTGTACACAGTAACAGCCATATTGTGCGATGACTGGCTTTGATATCCTTAGATCTTCTCAGCAATGCAAAGATCTACGACGTCTCCAGAAGTCTCATGATGGAAAATGCTATCCACATCCATAGAAAGAGCTACGGAGTCTGAATGCGGATTGAAGCATATTATTTGCTTTCTCTTTTTTTTCTTGTTTTGTTTTGTTTCTTCTTTCTCATGGTTCCTCACATTCATTCTAATTCTTCTTTACAACATGACTAATGCGAAAATATGTTTAATAGGAATGTATATGTAGAGCCTATATCAGATTGCATGCTGTATTGAGGAGGGAGGAGGAGAAAATTTAAAATATAAAAGCTTATGAAAGTGAATTTTGAAAACTAAAAGTAAATAAAATTAATTTTAAAAAAATCTCACTCCAAATC